TGGAGGTCCGACGAGGAGTGGAAGGGCGCGGATCGCCGCCGGTTGACCGGCCTGCCCTTCCAGGTCGAGTTTGTGGACCAGCCGCACGGGCCGAACCAGAGCAAGAAGGACAGCTCCGTGAAGGAGAACATCAAGTCCTACTTTCCTGAGTTCTGGTTCCTGATGCGCGTGCTGTGGCTCTCCGCCAAGCCGTTCCCCCGTAGCGACCACATCGAACCCCGGCACAGCAGGACGATCGGCATGGTGCAGGACCTGCTGAACTTCGGTCGCTCCCCCGCGGATGTGCCGGACAGCGAGCCCGGGATCTTCGTGAGGGAGTGCCTCGTGCAGTACCACCCCTCCGAACAGAAGCCCAGCACCTGCGGCGAGATCGAGGAGGCCCTTGCGGTCCGGCTGCAGGTGGAGTCGAGCAAGGCTCGGGAGCTCCTGAGGTCCGCGCTCGAACCGCAGAGGGGGTACGCCCTTGTCGCACGCGGAGGGCGCCGCAGGACCTCCGTCAACGTCTACAAGCTCGACGGCGCCGTGATGACCCTTTGCGGGCGGTGACATCAGTACAGACCCAGCACAGATCCGAATCCGTACAGAGAGAAAAACAACGCCTGGTGCTCTTGCGAATCCAGCATGCGTCAAAGGCGCTCAGGTCCCAGGCCAGCTGTTTCCCGCCCAAGGCCGGCGCCTTGCATCCTCGTGGCCTGGGTCTGAGTTTTCAGGCAGCCTTATAGGAACTTATAGGAACCTATAGGAAACCTATAGGAATCCCATAGGAAACCCGTAGGAAGCCTGTAGGAACGGGTCAAGAGAAGGAAGACAAGTCTTCCTACAGCTTTTTTCGATTTACCCCAACAACCCTCGGACTCACTGCCATGGTTTGATACTGGTCCGCCCAACGGGTACGGGGGGTTCGTTTTTTTAATGGTCTGCTCAACGGGTCAGGACCCAACCAGACGAAGGGTGTCGGGAGCTCGGAGCTTTTTTAGGGCCCTTATAGGAACCTATAGGAACCTATAGGAACCTTATAGGAAACCCATAGGAAACCCATAGGAAACCTGTAGGAAGCCCTCTTCTTCTTTTCCTATGGGTTTCCTACAGGTTTCCTATGGGTTTCCTATGGGTTTCCTATGGGTTTCCTATAAGATTCCTATAGGTTCCTATAGGTTCCTAAAAGGAGCCCAACAAACCCTCGGACTCACTGCCATGGTTTGATGCCGGTTCGCCCAACCCGTTTGGGCTTGATACTGGTCCGCCCAACCCGTTTGGTTTGCCGAGGACCCCAAACCCTAAAGGGACATTTGTGCGGTTTGGCGCTACAAAATGCTATTCTTACAGGGTGTACATGTATGTACGGCCTGGAAGAACAGCTCGTTTTGCACGGTTTTTGCGCCACAAAATGCTATTACTCCAGGGTCTACATTGATGTAGGGCCTGGAGTAATAGCTTTTTTTTGCACGGGTTTGCACTGTTTGCCCATGCCAGCCCCCGCTCGTTTGATTGGTTCGCCCAACACGTTGGTTTCCCCGATCACCCCAAACCTTAACCCAAAAAGGAGCTGAGCAGGCTCCGGAATTTTCCCCCAGCCCGCGCAATGCCTAAAAGCCAGTTTTTTTCGCTCGATCAGGATCAGGCAAACTTGAGTGTGATCAGCCTCTTTTTGCGCCAAAACGGGTCCGATCAAGCTTCCTCGGAAACGAGGCTGAGTCTTCAGTCTTCGTCTAATCCGACGAGCCTGGAAGAAGCCCATTTTTCCATGTTTTTGCATGTTTTTTTGGCGGTGCCACGATTCATCAAAAATGATGAATCGTGGCACCCCCGCCTTTTTTCTCGTTTTTGGGCGCACTCAAAAGCGGTGCCACGTTTCACCAAAAATGGTGAAGAGGGGCACCCCCGCCTTTTTTCTCGTTTTTTGGGCGGTGTCACTCAACTTCAAAAGCGGTGTCACGATTCATCAAAAATGATGAAGCGTGACACCCCCGCCTCAAAAAACCATTTTTCAAATTAGTCGAGGGTCCTGGGCCTCGGAGGCGCCAGGAAGTCGTCCAGCTGCCTCACAGCCGCCGGCCTGCCCCGTCTCGTCAGCCGGCCCGCCGCGTTGCCGCTGCCCTGCGGCGCCGGCAGCGCCAGCTTCAGCAGGGTCTCGCGCCCCTCCGTGCTGCGGACGGTCATGGAGTCCACGGCCCCCAGCTGCTGCACGTCGCCGTACTGAGGGTTGAAGCTCCTCGCCGCGTTCGTCGGCGCTCGGAAGGCGCCCGCGTCCTCCACCGCCTTCACGCGCCGGTCGGTGAGGTCCTTGTTGTGCTGGAACTTGTCGGCGTTGTCTTGCAGGACCCTGAACTCCGTGGCCGGCTGCTTCTCCACGTCCTCGGGCGCGCCGTGCACCGTCTCGTGGGGCCGCGCGTTGTAGGCCCCGGCCGCCCGCTCGAAGTGGTCGCTCCACTGCCCGCCCTTGCGCGCCACCCTCGTGGCCAGGTCCTTCTTCAGCGTCTGGATGCCCCGGTCCACCACGGCGTTGCAGCGTGGCGAACTCGTTGCCCAGGTCCGTCGTGACCACGAAGTTCCCGTCGTCCCCCGTCAGCTCCCGCGCGGCGCGCTTGGTGGCGCGGCCCACCGTCTCGGCGTTCTTGTTCTGCAGAGGTTCCACGGCGGCCTCCCGGGTGAAGACGTCCATCACCACCAGGCCGTACTTCGTCTTCCCCCGCGTGTTCTGGCTGAAGTCGATGAGGTCGGCCTGCAGCCGGTCGTTCGGCCCCTCGGCGGCCGACTTGCCCAGCGCGCGCGGCCGGGGCGCCTGCACCTGCCGGCCCACGTCGGCCTTCAGCGCCTCGAAGGCCATGGCCTGCGTCACGTCGAGGTCGCGCTGCCTCGCGAGTCGGTACAGCTTCCGCGGGTCCCTCACGTTGAAGTCGTCGGCCAGGTCCCTCAGCGCCTCCATTTAGCTTTGTTGCCCGGGGCTGATCAAGGTTCCGCGAGAACGCGGAGGCCTGAACAGGCCTTGTTGCCAAAAAGGAGCTGGTGCAAGGTTCCTCTAGAACGAGGACGCCTGCTCACACTACTTGTTCTTCGGCCCCCGCTGGGCCTGCCAGGCTTCCACCTCGTCCAGCCGGGCCTGGAAGCCCTTGCACACCCCCCACAGCACGCTGGTGAGGTGAGAGTAGTCGAGGGTGATCATCTCGGTGCCGTCGCTCCACCGGGCGGTGCCCGTCAGGTTCTTCCACTTCGCTCCTGAGAAGTCGTTGGAGGCGAAGCCCAGCCTCAGGTCGCCGTTCATGTCCGGGCGCTTGTACTGCTTGGCCTCCACGGAGTCGAAGAGCTGCTGGAGCTCCGCCACGTCGGCCTCCGCCATCTCCGTCTTCACCCGGCTGTCCGACAAATTCGTGAAGCTCGTGTTGCAGACCACGTTGCCCGTGTTGCCCGCGATCACGAGGCAGCCGGGGTTCCTCTGGTTCGTGGTCAGGGACAGCTGCGTGGAGAGGCTCTTCGTCTGCACCAGCGCCTCGTCGTTGATCATGATGAGCTCGCACTGGTGCGCCCCGCCGTCCCGCTCCAGGAAGACCCTGGCGCTCTGGTTGCCCAGCAGCCGCAGCTCCGGGCCGCTGTCGGGGGCCGCGCTGTTGTTGGACACTTGCAGCTTGCTCCAGCCCGCCCAGTTCTTCGTCGGAAGAGATCGTCCGAGAAGTCGGAGGTGTTGGTCACGGTGAGCGTGTTGGACGCGAAGAGCTGCGGCGCGGAGACCGTGCCCGAGCTCGTCACGTCGCCGCACACCACGCTGCCCGTCGACACTCCGCCGCTCGTGGCCGTGAAGGTGCAGTCCAGGCTCTCGCAGTCCAGCGGGCCGCGGACGCCGCCCCGGTGATCGTCAGCGTGGCGCCCAGTGAGCGCGCCGGTGGCTGCGAAGCTCGCCGCGGTTGCTGCGCCCGAGGCCGTCACGTCCCCGTGGACACGTCGCCCACCGTGGTGAAGTTCCCGGCGTTGGCCGTGTTGTTGATGGTGAGTGTGCTGCCGGTGATTCCGGTGGCGGAGCTCAGCAGGCCCACGCTGGCCGCGCCGCTGATGCTCAGCGAGCTGCCTGACACGGCCCCTGTGGACGTCAGCGTGGCCCCGGCGACGGTGCCTGTGGCTGTGAGCGCTGCGCAGGAGACTGCGCCCGAGGCGTCCACGCCCGTGGTGAACACGTCGGTGCAGTTCACGTCGTTGCACAGCAGCTGGTCGCAGCCCACGTTGCCCTGCGCGGTGAGCCCGTCCAGCGTGGCCGAGCCCGTGAGGGCCAGCGAGTCCGCCAGCAGGTCCGTTACTGAGACAGACTCTCCCTCGAAGGCGCTGGCCCTGATCTGCATGCTGTACAGGTCCAGCGTGCCCGCCGACTGCTGCACCAGCCCGGGGATAGACCCGCCGAAGGCTCCGAAGTGCAGCTTCGCGATTCCGCCCGGCGGCACCGAGAAGTCCAGGCGCGCCGTGCTCCAGACACCCTGCGAGGGCGTGCCGAGGAAGGTGCCGGTGACGCCCACGTAGTCGTTGTCGGCCGCGCTGACGTACATCACCAAGTTGGAGGCCGTGCCCAGCCGGTACCGGCAGCCGAAGGAGTAGCGTTAAGACTTTCACTGAGGCAATAACTGGGAAGTACAAAAAAGATAAAAAAAACAAAAAAACAAAAACAATACAAACCAAAAATACACACTGAAAAAAAAACAAAACAAAAAAACACCCCGGGAAAAAAAACAAAACAAAAAAACAAAAAAAAACAAGAAAAAACAAAAAAAAACAGAAAACACAAACAAAACAACACGCATGCGCAGAAAGAGGGGAACAGTTGAGTTGCGCTTGTCAAAGAAGCAAATCTGTGGATTTGTCCCAAACCAGTGGCGGGAGTGGGGTGCAGACAATGAAGCAAGCAGTGGCTACGTTTATATCTTGATTGTCAGGATGCATTGGGAGGCAGACTTGCGTGACGTGTAGTTGTTTTGGGCTTGAGGTTTAGTCCTAGGCCCTAGGCCCGAAGCTGACACCCGATGCCCGGCTGGCTTGACGTTCTGGATGACATGCTGACAGACAGCCAGCTGGATTCCAGCTTGGCCGAAGAAGCAGACGCCTGCAGATCGGACAGTGATGCAGAGCAGGTGTGTGTCCCCAGAAGCCCTCAAACCAGTGATCCATGGTTTGTCCAGAACATGAAACAGGCCACGAGGACGTTGACCGCCGGCGGGGCGCCACGCGGGCATCCAATCCAACTCGTTTCCAACTGCAGTGCTGCTCTATCCGAAGCAGTGGCCTTGCAGGCAGGGTACATTCTGCGGTCATGGGCGTTTGGACTGGTTACTGGTTGTGGCCTTTGGGCGTGTCATTGGAGACGGGGCCTTGGAACTAGAAATAGACACTGAAGAGGGCACGGCAGAACAAAGCAGGACTAGTTTGTTAGAGCGGAAGACGCACACATCACATTTACCGGACTCTAGACTCTAGACTGTGTGGACCAAAGGGCTCAGAAGATTGCGTAGACCTGAGGTCTTGTCTTGCCTCACTGTTGTTAACAACGCCGGGTTGTTTGCCTTGCTGTATCTGCCCAACTCGGTTGCTGCTGCTAGGCCCTGGGCATTGAGTTCGTGGCGGCTGCGACATCCGAGCCGTGCGAGCCCTTCAGACGATTCATGCTTGCCAATCACAAAGTTGAGCATGTGCACCCAACATTTGCGGAGCAGAACGCTGGCAAGCCGTGCATCTTGCATCCGCGCTCTCCCTCGTGCGCAAGACCGGTGAACGCTGACCTAGGCGTTTTTGGGACGCCGTGCGACCCATTTTCCCTTCAGAGGGGCAAGAGGTTCCACGACGGCTCAGTGAAACAGCATGCCCTTTACAGTGTCACTTTCACAGATGCCCTGAACTTCTTGCTGGACCCCGGTGCTCCAAAGGCTGTCATCATGGAACAAGTTGAGGGTTTCAACGAACCGGAGTCCGACTCCGAGAGTGAGACCCCCATGAACAGGCAGGTTTGGAAAAATGAGGTCGGGCCATAATCTTGCAACTCCACGCAACACGTTTGACACCTGCTTCTTAGATTCTGACTTGGTTGACCAGACTTGCTTCCCTTTGCAGGTTCCTCGACCTCATCAGCAATGGCGCGCAGGAGAGAGGCCTTCCAGGATGGCATGTGGTCGTGACCAAGCACAAGCTGGACATTTGGCTTCGCCTGGCCCGGCCAAGGACAGATTTCCGGTGCGAGTGGGTGTGTTGCTGCCTTGTAGTGTTTAGCACTTCGCATGTTTTTTTTCGGTTGGAGAGTGGGGGTCCTTGGTGCAATATGGTCGCGCTACCTGCTTTGAGACACCTCCCCTGTTTTGACTTGAGCAGCCTCCAGACTGTAGGCCTGACATGATCCCAATCAGAAGGCTAGGGTCTGACATTTTGCATGTCGCGCTGTCACAGACATTGCTGCTCTTTAAACTTTAAGCCAGAAGATGCCTGAGTCTTGCAATGGCAGAAGAGAATGACAGTGCAGGGCAAACATCTTGGCTAGAAGTTTTGCAGGGACAACATCATCTGCCAGATGCCAGCTTTCCAGAAGTTGAAAGGCCGCAAGCAACGGCCAAAACACGGCCATGTGGCTTGCGCGGTAGCCACAGCTACAGGGCCGCACTGCGTCAGCAAGACGAAGCAGAAGCAGCAAATCAGCCTCAACGCCCGCCTGCTGAGTATGCCCGCGCATGCCGCCTTGCCAAATCACAGTTGCAACAGCTGTCATCGGACCCGCAGCCAAACCGGCTGTTGAAGTTTGTCAAGGACATTGGCAATGACCTGCAGCGATTTTTTGGACACTGGCTTGCAAAGCAGGACATCCAGAAACACGCTACCGCTACCGCTACTGACCAGACGCCTTCGTTGCCTGATGAGCAGTTTGCGCAGACCTTGCTGTATGATGTTGAACGGCCAGTTTCATCACGCGCAGCTGAGAGCAAATATTCTGGCTTGGGCTTATGCGCAGTGCAGCGCAAAACCATACAGGGGGCATCAGCATTGATCAGTGCAGGCGGGTATTTGTGGGGCTGCAGTTTTAGCCAACTGGCTGACATGGTGCAGAAACAGGCTGTGCGGCCTATCATGCTGATCCGGAAAAGGCGATATGACGAGACTCCTACGCGCATTCAGGTTCCCGCTGCGCACTCTGGACCATCAGAGAAAAACCGGCTCGCAAAGGTGTTGCAAAGCGAGTTCCAGCTTGCCGGCCTTTGCCAAGACGTGGAATCCAGTTGCTACTTCTTTTTCAAAGGTCATGCGCCGACTTGGCTAGTCGCTGTTGACAGTTGCACGGCAGATGTGACAAAATTTGTTCAAGACCAACTGGAGCAGAACATTCCGGAGTTGGAGCGGTTGTCGCACATGTTTCCTACCAACATTCAGATGATAAACACAGATGCCTACGCTGCTAACACCAAAGCAGAGAGGGCCATTGCGATGGAGCATCCTTCTAGTCACCTGACGCACTACTTTTGTGACCATCACAACTGTTGCACTTGTTTGACAAAAGGGTTTAACCTCGTTCCTGACTGCATCAGTGGCATGATTGCTGGGGCTCTTGCAATGCAGGGAGCAGGTGAGACGGCCACACTTCGCCGGTGCCTCATGAATGTTATTCGGGACCGGTTGCAAGTCCATATTGGCCCAGCACCTGCCGGCCGCATTGCTGCCCACCGGAAAGGTATTCATGAGTTGTTTCTGCAGATTCCTCCTGACACACATCGAAAAAAAGGATTGAGGCGCCTAAGGTATGTTCAGCGGCTGGTTTTGGGAACGTTTCTGAATGGAGACCTGCAGGACAACGCTGCAGTCCACACATGGGTTGTTGAGTTAGCCCCCGACAGAGATCGCATTCTTGAGATGTTTCGCCTATATGTGGTGCCCTGCCTTATTCCTTGCAAAGTGTACATGTTTCCGAGGCAACGATGGACCAACACCGAACTGTCCATTGACTATTTCGGACTCCTTTGCAGCCACCATAACTTGTTGGAGCCGACTGTGCAGCAATGGATATCATTGAACATCAAGCCTCAGGACAGTTTCGCACCTTCGGCATATGTCCCGGACCCAGATGACGCTGATGAGGAACCTGACCAGCCGCAGCAGCATGACCAAGACAAAACCGAAGCAACTGACGCTAAAGAGCACTGGATCAAAATGAGAAAGCAGAGCCGCAAGAAGTTCAGGATGTGGGCTGACGCAAACCCTGGGCCAAAGCTTGTCGCATTGCGGACTGCTACCACTCCGGTTGTGACCTTCACACACAAACTGCTCAGCAGATCAGGGGACACTTGGGAACGCAAGCAGGAACTCAAAACAGTACGGGGGGAGCAGCGGACGTTTCGGGCTTTGGAAGCTTTTCGCGGGACTGACCTGAATGCCTTCTTTGCAGATCTCAATCATGCTTTTCACAGCCGAATGGAGGCCTTGGCAGAAAGGGACATGATCCGCAACAACCAAGTGCTGACCTTTCAGATGCTTTCGGCTGTTGGGGCTGGCATTGATTTCTACATCGGGCTTCGCTGGAGATCATACCCAGTCAGACTGTTTGGTTTGCTAGATGACCATCCAGACCCGGAAGCTGTTCAGTTTCCATGTCTGCTGGATGAGTTTTCACAGCATCTTCTTGAGCAGTTTGACAAGGCAGGCGGCGCGCTCTCGGAATTTGCAAAGCACTCTATGACATGCCTGGCAATGACGTTTACAATGGGCATTGCAGAGATTGAAGCCCGTCACGCGTCCACACGTCGCATTGTGACAGTCAAAGGCGTTCAGACTCACATGCCATCGCTGGATGACATCAGTGCGAACTGGGTTTGCCGTAGAAATGCAATTATGCGCTCAGAGTATCCATCAAGCCCTCCAACCTCACCACGCGTGCAGAAATCAGCAGATTCAGCAAATAAAACGTGGAAGAAACCTGGCGGTCCATGGCGTGCTTTTGTCTCAGAGCAGTTGCAAGGGCAACGCCGATTCACTAAAGATGACATGAACGAGTTGTCAGCCAAGTACCAGAACCTTTCGCCAGACGAGTTCAACTACTTCAAGGAACTTGGGGAGTGCGCCAAGCAAGCAGGCAAAGCTGGATTCCAGCCGTTTGGCGAAGCCACTTCTTCAAAGCGGGCTCGCTCTGCTGAGCCCAACGCAAGCCTTCAAGCTGCCCTTGTTCCAGTCCAGGATCTCGATCAGTTTGGCGCGCAGCTACAGACGCTGAAGCAACGCCTTCGCATGGCATCGCGGGAGGAGGCTGGCTTACAGAGGCAAGCTGAAATCGAGCTGCAAGCAGCAAGCCAGCAGCAGCAGTTGCCACATCACGAGTCGGCTCTGCAAGCATGGTCGACAGGGTCATCCGTGCGCGGTCTTCCTTCTGCTTCTAGCAGCCTGCACTGTGCCCGTGTGCATCCCCCAGCAGATGTGTGTGCTGAGGCTGGGCAGCTTTAACATTGCGCATGTCGGACAAGGCAATGTTTGTTTACCCAACCTTCCACGGGAAGTTCAAACAAGTCTAGAATCTAGAATTGAAGTCTAATTGCGTTGATAAGATTTGACCATTGCAGAAAACCAGCGGGCTTAGTTGAAGTGACGGGTGTTTGATGAAGCCACGCTGTTTCAGTTGTTTATATTTACACGTAGGATAGTTCAGGCTAGTTACAGTTAGGTCACGGTTACTTGGCTCCCTTCGCCGCAGATGCTTGTCGGCCGCAAGACAGAGACTCAGGGGCTCAAGGGCAAGTTGGAGTCAAACTTTGACAAGAAATGCCAACTGATCCGTCACAGCGAAGTGCCAAAAATTGGCGAGATGCCAGCTGTCAAGAAAAAGCCGTGCTCCTTGTTTGGGACTTGCTTTTGCTCTGGCGATGGGTTCGAGGCCATGCAATTTCATGGCAACTTGAGCTCCATGCTCAAAAGCCTCTTTACGCCGCCAAGAAAATGCAAAGCAGATTCGTTGCAGGTAGAGTCAGACGACCAAATGGCTAAGCGACGCTTTCTTGCAAGCAACCGGCAGATGCTGCAGTCACTGCACATTGTGCTTCATTTGCAGATGGTAGATCAACCTGACCATCGTGAAGAGGGTTCTGACACAGCTTGCGCCTCAAACAATCCTTGGAGCTCTGTTCTTGACACAATGTTGCAAGAGAGCACTTGTAGTGGCCCGTCAGAGTTGTGGTTTCACATTGGAACGGTGAACTATACCACGTGGTTTTTCTCAGTGCTCCAATTGCACCCTGTCGAATCACGCGGGGCTCGCCGCAGACTTCGGGTTGCAAGAGCCGCTGAGTTTGGGCTGTCAGCAGTGGCTTTCAAGAAGTGCGTGGATTTCACGGTGCCCTGGTCCTGCACACTGTGCTCCATTGTTGACAATGATGACGCTTTGACTCTAGACTCTTGCCGGACTAGCTTTGTCACTTTCCTGATACTTAGTTTGTCGGTGCTTTTGAAGGCCGCGTGACTGTGGCTACGGCAATAGACAACTTGTGGGCAAATGGTTGGGTGAAATGTGCATTTCTAGTAGTCAGTCACCTCAAGACTTAAGCCTTAAGCTGCCATTTGAACCCACTGACCAGTCAGATTGCTTGCTGAGGATGAGATGACTCCGAACTGGGTGGACGTGATCGCTATGCCCAAGATCGAATCCTTTCGATTCTGGCGCGGGTCAGCGGTAGAGCGGGAAGCTAGAGCAGCCCGACTCAGCCGTAGCCGAGCATCACGCAGACCCAAGCAAGCTGCCCGTGGACCAGCCGCTGTTGGAAGCTGTAAGTCAGCTCCCAAAGCAGCTTCTGACCCACCAGCTCCTCATGCTCTTCTAGGGCTTGAGGGAGACGATGCAGACGATGAGACAGAACTTGGCGCAGATCTTTTGGAGGAAATGTTTGCAGGAAAGCCGGCCAGTGAGGCCGAATCACTTGCCTCAAGTGCTTCAGATTTTGGGTCTGAAGGGTCTATTTTCCGGCAGTCAGATGACAACGATGATGGACACCAGCCGCCTCACATGGGCAGCCCT